AGAAACCAAAAATAACATGGAAGGTCACAACTGGAGAAATCAAAACAGATTGGATTATGGATAAGGGTAAAGTTGAAAAACCATGGCCCGACTTTTTTCTGGTTTACGTCACTTTTAAGTGTTATAAACGTTAAACTTGTTGAAAATCGTCATTCTTTAATAACTGGTCGGAAGTTTGCTAATGATAAGACAGCTGCTGAGCCAATTTGACGTTTAGAATTCTTAGCTAACAAAACTGAGCAGAATGAAGTAAAATACAGTGGCGTGGCCCCCTTAATTACAGCCTGAGTTTCATTACTATTCTGTGCAGAGACTTTCGTGTAAGCACTCAGCCAGAACGTTAACCAAGGTTAAACGTTCCGAACATTATTTCACATCCTACTGACGTGCCGGAAATGGAAATCAGTTGCAAATCACGTCGTCTTTCGTAAAGAGCTCAGACAAAGCAATGCCTCAGACGCATGTGTGGGCCTTCCGATAGCAAAACGAGTGCGAGATAGAATACTAGCTAGCGCAACTCTCGCAATTCATTCCAAGCGTTCCTCAACAAAAAGATCTCACTACTCTCTGTTACTCACGAGTTGACCAGGAGACTATCGAAATAGGATTGCTCACCGCCTGAAAGCAAAGCACCAGGTTTAAAAGTCGTAGTCGGCGAACTCGCACTTAGTCTGGTACTTCTTNGACATAGGACTGCTCACCGCCTGAAAACAAAGCACCAGGTTTTTAAAGTCGTAGTCGGCGAACTCGCATTTAGTCTGGTACTTCTTGCCTCTTTCTATTGTATCAAGAGATTTCAAGTGGAACGGTGTAATTGCATTTGAATAAGCTTGTTTTTGAATAAGTTTACCTTTCAGTTTTGGAATTTTGTCTATATTTCCGGCATTTTAAGTTAGAATTGTGGAGGGAGATGAAAACCGTTTTTGAAGAATTCATTTTTTTTCACAATTCCCAAGCTACGGCGTTCAAGGCATAAAACAGATCAAATTATCTGCATGATCTGATAGCCTGCAAATTGCAATTTTTCACTTTGATAGTATGTATCAAAGTTCTCAAAAAGTTCTTTTAGTTATGTCTTTACATTATATCTTAGGTAGTCTGGTATTTTCAGCTTTGTGGAAATAATTCCTAGGACTTTGTGCAGGAGTAATCAAGCTCAGATATTTAGCTACGTGATACGATATAAAAAAAAAAAAACAGACTAGCCTAAGGGATATAACGGTGTTTAGTGGCGATCGCTATGGTTACAAGGGCGTGATTGAAAAAAT